TTAATTCCAAATATTTAAAATCTCATCCCAAATATCCCCAAAATCAAAACTCCAAGAAAAATCCTAATTCCAAATATTTTAAAAAAAATATTTAAAATTAAAATTCATCCATCCAAACACTTAAAACAAAATCTATCAACCATCTGCAACAGTTTTCTAGGGTGAATAAATTAAAAATTACTTTAGCTCACATAGAGTTAATACCTAGTCGAAAATATCACTATGATCCATTCTCAAATAATCTTCTGCTAGTAAGGACGTGGTATGTGTCCTCTAATTGGTGATTTTCCGCAAAATGGCACCGCAAGATAAACAGTTATGACCTGGGGCCCTCTGAACCAAGTGGTTTTGCGGCCAAATGGCATTAAGAGATAATGATTATGTCCAGAGCCAATACATTCCTTAGTATCATCAAATCCTTGAGATATTAATCAATATGATATAATCGATAGGGCACAGAGCCCTCTATCAACTAAGGTGGATTCAAATTTGTCCCCTTAGACAAAAACTTCCTCCAGGTCTACAAGGTATCTTTGGACGAAGCAACTCATGGCTGTCGACAAGGATCCTTCTGTCAGGTTGGGTCGATCGACTACCTCCTCTGATTAAGTAGACAAGGGACCACAATGGCCCGGGATGACAAAACCATGGGATCTTAATCAGGTCTATCATCCATTCCCCCACCATCCGCTTTAAAAGCAAGATGGTGAAGTTACCAATTTTAAATATCATGCCCATGCTACTACTATATGTCAGATAACACGTATCTCTACGTATCTGATCGATGACTAGCCTTAATCAAAAGTTATCTCTCGTTATCGATATGGGTAATTAACTATAGGGGCTTACGCCTATAGGAAACTAAAACTCATATCATAAAGTCCACATAAAATGAGGGTGAAATCTCTGGGTAGTGTCTTATCTACAAACCCATATGCCTTCCCAAAATTTACCCCAAAACTTAATTCCGTTAAAACTCCCCCGAAGACAAGAAAGCAACGGGCGGAGGCCGGGGCCAAATTTTTGGTATCCACAATATATAGGCACCAAAAACATGAAATAAATAAAAGACTAGAAAGCCCTTCAAGGGCCAAACAACACAAAAGCTCCCTCAAGTTAGGGTAAAATTGTAATAAAATAAATAACTTCACATAAGTCTCCTACAACACATGAAAACTAAAAAAATATAAAGACTCAATCAAGACCGTAGATCTCCGGCCTCTATGGTGATAAACCCTCCAAGCTCTGATGTCCCCATCATAATATTTTCATAAACCATTTTATTACCTTTTAAGGAAAAAATTAAAGCGAGTAATTTTATAGTATTTATTTAATCTCTTTTTTATTATATCTCCTAAGTTATTTCTTTCTTAATTTTTTTGATAAAATCAAGGCTTCTTTTTTGTTTGCTAAGCGAGGATGCACTTCAATTTTGGGAAGAGTCGGTAAGTGTTCTTCTATTATATATAATAATTGTAACCTCTTTATAAGCATATTAAACTCTTCTCTAGCCATAGGCTTACTTAAGCTTAATCATGCAAGTTTTGATGTTCTATTGTGTGATGCTTATTCTCTTTTGAAGTTACTTTATTTTTTATTGTACTTACTCCTTGGTTGATTCTTCCATAACATGAAGTTAGGTGCACTATTTTTCTAACATAATTAACTATAATTTGCAATACATGATTAATTACTAAATATTCATTGGAAACAAGTATTTAATTAACACAACTATCATTATTTTATTAATTTTTCTTATTAAGAAAAATATTAAAAAATCCTTAAATTGAGAACTCGAGTAAAAAATAAGGATGTCTCTTCGGAGACAACCGATAAAATTGGAATGAAAAAAAAAAGTAAAAATAAGAATGAACCTGATTTTATCGATAAGGTATGCATCGTGGTTGCAAGGTGATTTCCAACTTGTGGTCGATCTTTCATTTGCAAACAACTTAAAGTTCCTTTTCTCTTCTTAAAGGATGTATTTTGACAACTTTCACTTTGAATACAGCAGAAGCAACTTAAGGTGCATTTGGTCTCTGATATTTGTTTCCTCTCATCTACAGATTTAGTACAACAAAAACCACAACAACACATCACATTACTCTCTCTTTTATTTGCAGAATCCTTATTCAATTTATTCTTCTCACTTACTGTCTCCTCATGATAAGGTTCTTTCAGTGATTCACCTCTGCAGCACTGAAAACAAAACCCTTCCCCTTTCTTAAATGAATTATGTTTTGAAGATTTACCAACACAACAAGGAAGACAAAAAACCATAGTTTTTCCTTCTTTTTTTGATGAATCATCTTTTGATAATTTATTATCACAACAATATAAACAACTCCAAGCCCCACTTTTCCTGCTATTTGAAGAATCCTCCTTATATGATCGAAAGCAAAGGAAACATCTCTTGTCCTTAGCTGCTCTAAATTCTGAATTCGCTTCTGAAGAATTTTTAGGAGATAAACAACAACAATCTCTAACTTTGGATGACTCGTCCTTTAACAGTGATTCACCACAACAAAAACATGTAATCCCGCAACCTCTATTGTTCCTCTCCTTCCCCTCCTCCTTGGATTGCCTAAAGCAAGAGAAACAATTCTTGTTCTTCTCTTCTCCTCTTGATTCAATATCCTCTTTTGATGATTTCTTATTTGACAAACAACAACATCCTCTTCCTTCAGCAGAATCATTCTGTGCTGATGATTCCTTACAACATAAACATCCAATTCCATAACCGGTTCTCTTTCTCTCCCTCTTCTCCCTGGGTGATCTAAAGCAAGAGCAACATTTCTTATCCTTTTCTTCTCCTATTGATTCATTCTTACTAGGGAAGCAACAGCATCCTTTTGATTTTAGTGAGTCATCATTTGATGATGAATTATAACAACATAAACTTCCAATCTTACACTTTCTTCTCTTTCTCTTCTTTCCCTCCTCCTGGGAGGACTTAAAGCAAGCAAAACATTTCTTTCCCTTTTCTTCCCTTCTAGTTTTTGTATCCTTTTTCAATGATTTCTTGCAAGGAAAACAACACCTACTTTTTTCCTTTGAATCATCCTTTGATGATGATGATTCATCACAACATAAACATTCAATCCCAGAACCTGCTCTCTTTATGTCATTCCCTTCCTCTGACCCTTCACAACAATAACACCCTGATGATCCCTCTCTCTTTCTCAACTGCACGTTAGAATCCTTGGATGACTTGCAACAAAAAATGCAATGAAAACAACTCATATTCAGCTTCTCCTCAAAATCTCTTATTTCTTCTGGCTCATATCTTCTACATTCAAAATTCACAGATCTTCAAAGAATGAATAGAAGAAGAATTTAATTAATTACATTTTCCTGTACCTTAGTCTGAGAGTGGATCCAATCCCAGACGATCACCACTCTCCAAATTTGAGGGAAGAACTCGAAACTAGAAAACCATGAAAAGTGGAAGTAGAAGAAGAAAGATAATGAGCGTTTGTTTCTTGCCGGCTATTCCATTGATTTTGGTTAGAAAGAAAGTTTGTTACGGTTTGTCTTTGACAGAGCATTGACGCCATAAATGGAAACATTTTGCTTGAGGAGCAATGTGAGAGCCACAAGAAGATCCATGAATCTTTGTCCCATTTTTGTAGCGTTGATCAACGATCATTCAAATTTCTCTAAAATTAAATATGCCAATTATAGATGGAAAGATGTCAAACCGTTTGATCTTGAGTCTCTCAATCCATTCAGGATCATGCCATAGAAAAAACTAATTAATGGAAAGTTTATCTTCGCCCAAAATTTTAATTTCACTACTTAAAACCGTTTGAATCTTATTCCTCAAAAATTCTTTAAAGATCAACTTTAAAAGGAAACAGAGCATTAAAAATTCATCAAATTTTATTCCTTCTTATCGAATTGATACTGTTATAACTAAGCTCTGTACAATCTTCCAAATTCTTTCAGTTTCTGCGCTGCCCTTTAACCAGAATTTGGTAAAAATAGACCAACTTATATACATAGCACAAACTTGAGTTAATTAGTTGACTAATCCAAATTTAGAGAAGACTGATTCTTTAATCATGATAAAAGCAATATTGGTGATTTGATATAATGGCAATCTCTTGAATACCACTGCAGAAGCTTCTGTCAATTTGGTGTTGGTAAGATATTATTTTCTTGCATTATGTTCTATTCACTATATATTCATTTAATATTAAGAATCAAATTGCAAAATACAAACTTCCCACTCCAAACAATTAATAATCTGAAAAAATGACTTTAATAATTAATCTAATTTCAAATATTTAATATTTTAAACTAATTATCAAATCTTTGGCATGTAATGAATTCTAAACTTAATGATTAATTAACTATAATTAGATTTATTTTATTAATTATTTGATATATATTTAAAAACATATGATAATTTATCAATTTCTCACTTTGAATTATATTATGTCTAATCATAATTTAATTTGTATTAAAAGAAGAAAGCAGACAGCAAATTAAATGAGAAAATGAAAATTATTTATCTTTTCTTAAGCATTTATTTAGCATCTAACTTTTAAATATGTTACAATAATAACATTTTCAATTGTCGCTTACATCTGAAGGTCTGTTTAAGGAAAAACTATTCTGTGTGGAAGCGAAACCCATCCGAATACCTAAGCTCGCGGCTCAGTACCGTGGTACCACCGTTTGGTACTGTTGTACCACCATTCGGTACCGCAGCTCAATATTGTTGATGAGGCTTATTCTGATAGATATTTGGATGTAGAGCTAAGTTCGACTTCCACACAAAATAATCTCTCCAATTTGAGATAATATTCTTAATATTTTATTTTATTTTCAGACAGCAATCAAATATTTATTTATCTGCTTGCTTGAGGAACAAAAAGGATATTGAAGTGAGAAAGCTGAGGAAGCTGCTGATTAGAAGTTTTGAACAATTATTGGTTAAAAATCTTTGCATGTAAGCATGAGATGTGCTACAACCATTTCAAATTGTTTTGCTGAATTGTTTCATGTATATAACAAACAGGTATGTGAGTTCTAACATAGAAACCATATACATTATTATACCAAATGGCATAATACGAAAACTCAGCAAACCAATCTACTAAAAGCCAACTAAAAGATGGCAGATACAGCATATAAGCCATAAAACTTTATATGATTAGTGATATTTACATGAGCGGTTTGAACCTCTCCAGTGGATACTAAATATAGAGAGGGATTCATGCAATTTTTTAAGGAACGATCTGAATCTTGCTGAAGTCACGCATTTCACTTCTCAGGCAACCAGCACTGGCCAAAGAGTTGATCCAAACCTCATCAGAACTGAGCGATTCATGATCATCGTTCCTGTGCCAGCTCCAAAATGCGTGAGTTGCATTAACAATCTTCAGTTCTCCATGACCAAAACTGGCTTCCCTAAAGGCTGACCATATTGGTTTCGGGTGGTGATATCTGCCAAAAATAAAATTTGAATGAACTAAAACCAAAACTATATTGGATGGTAAAATTAGGGTGTCAATAATTTGGACAAATTATTCTGTGCGGAGTTTGGACGTCGTCAGAGACCAATAAAAATGTGTCACGTCACCCCAAAAGTGTACCGCGCTCGGTACCAAGCGGTACCGGACGGTTCTCCCATCCGGTGTCCGCACAGAATAAACTCTCCAATATTTGACACCGATTTGAAATCCGACCCGAAAAATTTCGGGTTCAGGTCAACCGGTAAAATATACAATTTAGCATGTTTTTATTGGAAACGACTGTGAAAGCGGTGCTTACCTTAGAGCCAGTCCTTCTCTGTTACCTCCGTCGCCAACGGTAATATGTATGGCACCACAAGAGTCTAGTTGGCCACTGTAGACACGTTCCTGTTGTTCAAGAATTGCAGAGCTTAGAAACTATCATTGAAGAAATTAAAATACATTAAGAAGATAGTAAGGTTCAGGAGCTATTATAGAAGAAATTAAATACATACTGATCTTTCATAAGCATGCACATGACCGGCAATCAAGATATCAACACCAGCAGCATAGAGCACTGGTTCGACTACAGCCATCATATCATCTCCTTCCCCTTGGTGAGCCCAATTGCTGTTATACCATGGCACATGCAGAAGAGCTAGAAGCCATGGTGTCCTTTCTCTATCTACCTTGGCAAGATCAGCCTGTTTATGAAAAATATATGCATATAGTTTTAACGTATAAATCCAAAGAATATACATAAAAAAATAGAACTATACATTTGTGCAGAAACATTAAACGATGTAAAAGCAAATATAGGATACAGCAAAATTTATACCGTGTTGGCCAACCATATGTGGTAGAAAAACAGATAATGTTAACTTCCACTAAAACGCAAAGAAAGTTTCGAGTTTAATGGGTCTAGGTCATCTCCAACTAAACGCCAAACGATTGTTTTTTACCGTGAGCTCCAACCAAACGTCATATTCAGCAGCAATTTGCGCCAGGGGAATGCGTCGCACTATTCACAAACGCAATTTTTTCGCCATTTTGTTCGGTTGTAGTTTGGTTGGAGAAAGGATATACCCAATATATTCTTTTTTTATGTTATTAAATGGAGTTCGGTTGATGATGAGTTACTGCATTTTCGAGTATTATTATATTTTGGAGTGTAAAATGAGTATTTCGGTAGGAGATGGTCTAAGATTGATAGCTGCAAAACTTGAATCCATTAGACGGATGTGTTGGAAGTAGAAAAACTAGATTGAGAAATAATAATATTGGGATTATTAGGAAGATTTATCGGAGTAAGACATGTTGGATATAGAAGTGCTGAAAATAGAATATAATGATTTGGGCATCTATATGGAGGCAGATAATTCACCAATAAAATGGTAAAGAAACATAGTGATAAAACATTTTAAAAAATAGAAGACCAAAAGGGAGACTATAAATTGTATAAAAAATGGCGCATAATCAACTTAGCACATCAATACATCATTCAATATTCAACGTAAACAAGAATGAATGATGAATGAAAATTCATAAAGCTGGCTCAAAATATTCCGAGTAGGCTAATGATGATGGTGGTTAAAGTCATCCACACTAAATGGCGAAATATATAATGAGTATGATTTCACGTATATAAGTTGCATCTTTCCCTAATATTTATCATGAAAGCTGACCTTTTATGGCTCGCTATTATCACACATAATAGGCAAATTTCACCATACCATATGATCAATTCCACTAGTAAAAAATAGAAAAAGTGTTGATGTGAGGATAAGAAACAAAAATGCAAAGAAAATAACCTTTAGCCAAGCATACTGGTCAGAATATTCACCATAATCTGTATAAGAGCCAAGCATAATCACATGAACACCTGCAACTTCAAAAGAATAATAGAGATTTGAAGTGGAGCCGCTCTCTGCATAAGGCATTTTCCACCTTGCATTGTATGACTGGAATGGAGATTTAATAAATGGGATACTCTCCATCTCATGGTTCCCTTCTGTTACCATCCACGGCCTAGCACTTGCATATGGCTGTATCAGCTCGCCAAAGGAATCCCACAAGTGCTGTAGATAATCAGCATAGGAAAGGTCCCCTGGGAGCAAATGCAAGTCATATTGGCACTCATTGATGTGCGATAGTGTGGATGCAGTCCAATCAGTCTGACCAAGATCACCAACTACAGCAAAAGTTAATGGGAATTTAGAAGGAGGCGTCTTAAACTGAAACTCTGGTTCCTGCCCTCCACAACGGTAGTAGTAAACTGTATCGTCTTCAAGAGGTCCAATAACAACATGGTGGATCTTCCCTGAATTGTAGAAAATATAACTGTAGGACAAGTTCTCTCCATCAGATGAGTCTGTGTACTGCCCAGGGGACGTTCCATATTCAACCAACGATGGAAAAGATTTATCATCAGTGACCCAAGAAATCCTCATGTGTTTCTCTCCAGCAAGAGAAATGTGAACCTGCAGAAGTCCACTCGCTATTCTTAGTAGTCTGAAATAGAAAAAGCAATAAAGCATTTATAACATGAAGTTAAGCTTACTAGCAATTAAAATGGAAAGTGGCCATTCTCTTTTACTCTTAATGAAGTATTAATAATGCAGAGAAGATAATGAGAATGGTAGAAAGCTCTGGAAGTTAGCCTGAAAATGAAGAAGGGATAGGATTAGGAAAACAGGGGCGAGGCTGTAGCCGCTGTATCTACTTTTCCCTAGCATAGCGTCATGCATGAAGAAAACCAAGTTCATATAGAAAGAGTGGATTGAACAGAGTTTCTGATGACAAAACAAATAGACCACCCGTCCTCTGCAACTCAACAACTGATCCCCATAATTTTCTCAAACAGCTCTCACTTACTTCAAATTCCTCATTGTACTGCCTGTGCTTGTGCAAAATGTACTTGGTTATCCTTTTCTTTATGTACTACTAGGTCCACTGAATGTTTAGAACTTATTCAATGTGATGTATGGGATCCTTCCTCAACTTTATCAATGCAATCTTATCTTTATTATGTCATATTTGTTGATGATTTCAGTCGTTATTCATGGGTTTATCCATTACATTCAAAATCTGAAGTTTGCTCCACATTTTTACAATTTAAAAATCTTGTTGAACGTCAATTTAAAAAATCCATAAAAAATTTTCACACTGATAGAGGCGGTGAATATGTGAATACCACCCTTCAACCACATTTAATAAACTTAGGCATTATACATCAAACAAGTTGTCCCTATACTCTCAACAAAATGGAGTCACAGAAGTATAAAAACTCTCTAAATTTGGTTTGAATTCAGGATCTCTTGGGTTCCAATCTCTGCTAAGAAGTATAAAATACCTGATTTTTCATATATATAAGGAAAGCAAAATGTTGGCTAACTGGGTTGACTGGTAATAATGTCAGCTTTGTTGGTCATATGATACTTCTGAACTAGTTAATTGACTACTTTTGCCATTCATGAATCACAGCTCCTGATGTAAAACGAAGATGCGAAGGAGCTTCTTAAGAGGATTAAAAGTGAATGACAACGTAATTTCAATTAATATCTTATTGAGATAGCAAGAAAATCATTAAACTTTCGTAGTTATCAACTAGCTTAGGCGAAGAAGTATGTAGATTAGCCAAAACCTTCAGACAACCAAAAATAGTAGCAACACTAAAAGCTATTACAACAATCCGTCATTTAATAACGAAAAGTTCACCTTGGGGAAATACTCACTCAACTAGACTAGGCTTTGCGGGAGAAGAATTTCAGCACACCAAACGATGCCACGAGGAAGGTTGCGATGCCAAGGGTCTTGAGCCACGGAGGAGTCGACGATGACGCGAAGGGCGTGAATGCTTGACTTTCGAGACTCCAAGTGTGCTTTGCAAATTTCCGGTCGTAGATGCTTGCAAGGATTGGCACGACTCTCTCCAAGTACTCTTCCACAGTGGTTTCGTCTTCGAATCCTACGTCGAAGCAAGGTGACCGTAGGATGTTGATGCTTCCGTCGGCGTGGAAAACTAGACCCCACTCAAACTCCGGATCCGCCATACATGCTTGGCGTGGAGATTTCTTCAAGGAGAGGAGGGGGTAGCCGGCGGGATCTCCAAGGAGAGGGGGAATTTCGGCCAAGGTGGGGTGAGAACATCCATGACTAAAGCAAAAAGATATGAGCTTAAGGCTGATCCTTGATGTAACCCAACCGAAATAGGGAAATACTTGGTCAAACCACCTTGTGTTTGAACACAAGTAATAGCTCATGCATACATATCTTTAATGATTTGAATATAAGCATTATTGACTCCTTTCTTTTCAAGAACTCTCCATAGCACTTCTCTTGGAACTTTATCATATGCTTTTTCTAAATCAATAAATATCATATGTAGATCCTCCTTATTCTATATTTCTCCATCAAACCTCTTAATAAATGCATGGCTTCCATAGTCGACCTACCCGGCATGAATCCAAATTAATTTTGAGAAACATTAGTATCACGCCGCAACCTATGCTCCATAACTCGCTCTCATAGTTTTAAAGTATGACACATTAACTTAATACCTCTATAATTCGCACAATCTTGTGCATCACCTTTATTCTTAAAAATAGGAATTAACACACTCATTCTCCACTCATCTGACATCTTTTTAGTTTTCAAAATAGTATTAAAAAGTTTAGTGAGCCAAGAAATTCCTTCATCTCCTAAGCATTTCCACACCTCTATTGGAATATCATCAGGTCCAACAACTTTTTCACCATTCATTTTTTTAAAAGCCTCTCTAACTTCAGTTTTACTAATACGCCGATAAAAACAGAAATCTTTATTTTCATTTAGGGTGCTAAGGTCACTATAGTCAATCTTATTTTCACAATCTTCATTAAAAAGAGTCCGACAATGCTTCAACAAAATCACATGCAAAGTATCTGAGTTTTTAGGTTCAGATATTCAAATTTAGATTGTTAGTAGATTTAGGTAAGCCTGTTTCCATTTCTCATGATTCCCGGATTCCTGCATTTTGTCAGTATAAATGGTTGACATTTTTTCTAATCTCTACAAGATTATCTTAAACAGCTCCCTTAGTGGCAAATTCAATCAATCAATTCAATAGATTGGAATTAAGAAAGCTTTTGCAGTATTGTAGCCTTGGCTTTAACAGAACAAATTTTATCTATTCCTACTTTGTCCAAGTGGCAAACAGCTTACTTCATCAACCTTCTAGAGTAGAACTTTGCTGTCTGGATGTTTCTAAGAAAATGGCATATCAGGGCTACACCATGCATTAGCTTTTTTTTCAGAAGTTGTTCGAGCAATGTCTTTCACATATTGTTGATCTTTGTTGAGCAGAGAACATAGTTTAAATTATCTCACATCAAGAAGAAGAGAGGTTTTATTGAGAAGTTATATCACTGCTTCACTTATGCTCATTTGTTCAGATTACGATAAACTATCTCTCAAGGCGAATTGAAAATTTTCAATTCCATATCAGAAAACTCAATTTTACACAAACCCTTCGACCGTGATACCAGTAAAATGGCCTCAAAACTCACTAACCTACTTCGTTCCCTCGGGAACTAAAGGAAAAAAAAACTACATCAGGTGTTTCTTATTCAATCTACAATGAATGATTCCCAAGTTTAAGCTCTAGGCTCTGCTCTTGAATTTGCAGACATTCAAACCTCCGTCAACGCAAAAAAAAAAAAAAAAAACACACAAATCCACATAGGGATTTACGAGGACAAACCAAAAAGGAAACAGCTACTATCTCAAACCCCTATATCAGAAATAACAGCAGATCAAACGCCAACAAGTATTGGCAGCAACAACAGCACCAACTAAATTATCTAGAGAACAATTAAAATAAGAAACACCAAACTACCTCAAACGCCCAATACAAGACTTATCAGTAAGAGCAGCAGATCAAACACCAAGTCATGGAAATCAAGGGGAAAATAAAATCAAATCCTCGCAAAGGAAAATAGGGAAGTTTACTTGTTGGGGTCCATCTGAATGCTTGCGATTCCATGGCCAGGAGAAGCTTAGGGTTTTACGAGGTGCCGGCCTCACGTAATCCTCCCCAATTCCAGCAGCGATCCCAGTCAACGGAGCAGTCAGAAGAAGAATCAAAACCAGTATGCCCATTTCGCGCAGTTTTCTGGCCATGTCGGGCAAGACCGCGCACCTACGCGAGTAGTTGACGATATATACCCCCCAACCTAACCTAGTCGATTTTTTCCCTAATTATTTTATTATAGATTTCTGATGGCGTATGGAAGAAAAATATTTGTATTGGGATATAACTCCGTCGTTGGAGCTGATAGAAATATGATTGTCGAGGTGTAATTATTGAAGGGTATAATTTGAATATTATGAGAGCCTGTCATAATTTTTTAAAAAGTTTGCATGATCAACACTTGGGCAAAATTGATGACACCTTATTTTTCCTCAAAGAATTAAATAATATTATTTTTTATTTTATTAAGAAGTAATTTTAAAAAGGAACTTATTTAATATGTAATTAAGTAATAGAATTGTGATTATTAAATAATTTAAAAAATACAAAAATCAAATAATTTTACATTTTCTATTGAAATGGACAAAACATCAAATTATTTGACATTTTTCACATAAAATGCTAATTAATGGATTTGATGATTTCTTAAGGAGAGATATTATATTAAATATTATACTAAATATTTAACTATTTAAATAGGATAATTGCTTATCTTATCATAAATTATTTTAATATTTAATTATTTGAAGTATTTTATGATATAATATTTAATTAAAAATTATAATAAGTTGGTAGACTATTGTGCCTCCTCAACTACTTTGAGAATTTCCTTTGGGATGTTTCTTGTTTTAATAATCTACATCCATCATTTGTTAACAAAAATAGTGAAGATTGTGATATATTTTCTATTACTTAGGTTTACTTGTACTTTTCATTTCTAGTTTTAATGATATTTGCAATTTTTTTAAAAAATAAAAAATAAAAAATAAAAAGCCTGGTCGATTTTTCCCCATAAATGGATAACATTTTCTTAGTATTAGAGAATGGATAAAGTTCAGAATATTATTGCCTTATTGGATGGCATTATCACTGCAACGAAATTGTCCAGATTTTCTCTTTGTGTAATCGAATAAATAAATAAATAAAATAAAATATGAAAAGAGACGTAGATATAATATGAAAATAATAAATAAAATGCAGACAAAAAAAATAAAAGTTGTAGTATGATTTGATAAAAGTTGACCAATAAAATAAATTACGAAAGTGTCCTGTAAAAACAATTACAAAAATCTACAGTTCATAAGAAATAAGTGAATTAAAAGGCTAACATACTTTTAGAAAGAAAATAGATATTAAATATATAAACCTCAAGGTTGGCAGTTGAACTAATATATATATATAATGAGATAATCAAAATAAACGTTACTTGCATATCATTTAATTTATATTGTCCTTTAAGATCTATTTGAGTTTATGTTACATGAAACCCGAGCTAAGCCGTTGCGCTACAAAACTTGATAAACTGTCTATAAATGAGGACGATCCATTCGACTAAGGCTTCGTTTGGGACGGCTTTCTTTTTACTTCTTAAAGCGGCTTCCTAGTATAAAAATTAAAAAATTTGTACTACAAAGCTGCTTTAAGAAGCAATAAGAAAGTCGTCCCAAATGAATCTTGTTGAGTCATTCAACCCATGATGAAAAATGATGGTTCTACGTAAGGCACAAAAGCTATGGGTGTCAAAATAGGGTTTCGGGTCGGTTTGAATCTGGAATTAACCTGGGGTTCAAACGGTTTAACCCTAACCCAATCCGATTATATAAACGAGTTGAAAGCTAAGACCTGAACTCAACCCGTCGAATTACCGGGTTGAACAAATCCAACACCATTTTGTAAACCCAGGACGACAGGATAGTGGGACACTCATTGACAGCAGTAGGCGAGGCCAGCGCATGACTGCTGGCAGACATGGTCAGCGCGAGACAACATGAAGACGCAAAGACACGACGGGCAGGCACTTGAAGCGATGCGCGGACAGCAAGCAAACTCAATTGCAACGGGCGAGCAAACACAGTTAGTACAAACGCAACGACGGGCATACGCAATCAGTTTTTTCAAACAGGTTAACCAAGATTGAGTTCGAATTCCCATGTCAGGTCAACTCGAAACCAACCCATTTTTTCAAACACGTCGAATCCGAGAACCCAAACCTGACCAATTTGCAAAACGGTTTGACCTTAAATTTAAATTTTTCAAATCATGTCAAATATTGACACCCCTAGGTTAAGCCCAATCAAGATACGACTTAGTTGATCCAATGTATAGACTGTCTATTCAGAGGTGCGTCAAGTCATTCTCCACAATGATAGCTCCTCTCTTTACGAATCAACCATGAATTTGCATTAGACCAACTAGCCGTCTATGCCGCGAGTACTCTTATTGACTTGTTAGGCTTCGGTAAAAACAATAAACCATTTTTTCATGCTTTTCTTGTATTTTTCGCTATGCTTTCTTCGTACTTGTGTGAATAATATTGCATATGTAAAGAATTGATTACAGACATTACTCTATGTCATATATATAGTCGCCTAAGCATAAATTTCCTCGCAAGTAATGGAGTGCATGCGGCTAAATCAAGTTTTACATGCATCTTAAAGACCAAAAGTAGGCATAAATAATGTAACACCCACATTGACAAACCATAGCATCGCCCGTATTATCAACATTATCCACTATTTAAGAAGAAATAATTACATGCGGAGTCCGAACATAGAGTTATGTCCGAACTCCAATAAAATCATGACATGTGCTCTTATACACAATGTTTACAAATTTGTACACAATATTATACTCGTATACATAATATATATAAATTCATATACACTATGTACATAATTTTATAATTTATATATATTATTTACAATTGTACACACTATGTACAAAGACACGTGTCACATTTTTATTGAAGTCCGGAAATATCCTGACTCCGCACGCACGCAATAATTCATCGGTTAACATAAAGATGAATAAAACATACAATAAATATTCAACAGTCATCGAGCGCACATGTTATTGCTCCCACCAAAACGGTATGTATATATAACCTCTACTCATTCTCTCTCCAATGTCTTGTTATAGCCTAATATTTTTGTTCTTCTAAAGCTGCAGCCAAAAAAAAAAATAATGGTACTTGCAATAATAAAAAAAAAAGTTACAAAAATGGAGATGTCTCCCAGCACAGAATGAAACATTTCTCACAATCCATTAGAATACATGAGGCTGACGAATGGCATCATTGTGCTGTCAGGAATTGAAGAAGCAGAACCGAAATAAAAAAACAATCACTATAATCAAAACCTAAATAGTAAATACACAATGGCATAGTAACATATCTTCTAACTGCACACCCTCTGAGATCCCAAAGCATCATATGAAGCCTCAGAAGCATCTGCTGCCACTCATCTGCTGTTTGATCGCGTAAGAAAAATTACCGTAAAAGGAAATGGAAGTCGGAGGAGTGGCTTCTATGATCACCTCAAGTAAAAAACAAGGCTAAAGATATCTCAATCGATTAGTAGTGTCGCGTTCTTCAAGCTATGAATCGACCATTTCATCATGTAACTCGCTGGGTGCAACCAGCCCTGGGATCGAAAGCATTCGTTGGCGTTCCCTTTCTCTCTGTGCAGCAGCCTCTTCCGCATATAGATCCTTGTTATCCTAAAATTCACCAAAGAAAGCATAAAATGAAATAGACATTTTCATGTATATGTCTTGATATGATTAGACAGTAGGTAGTATGTGCGTAAATATAAAAGTTTAAGTATTAGATATATAAATAAAAATTTTGTGATAGGTATGTAAATCCCTTGTAATTAAATTAATTATACAACAATATATTCTTCATTTAAATAATAAAGCACTAATTAAAAGTTTATAACATGGATAATTCATTAAAATGTATAAAATAATGTATTAGATGAAAAAAAATGTCAACTTCTCTTATGTACATAATATCCAAAACGTATTACTGTAATGTATATAAAATGTGCTATTTGCAAAAAAAATATACATACGCTACTATAATGAATTAAATGATTTTGAAGTTTTCAAAGTTTTATTTATTGCATGTCTATATTAGGTAATATGCATGCGTCGTATATGTACATAAGAATATGCCATACATGCGTGTTGGATGTTAATTTTACTTCAATTATTATAAACTTCTTATTCCGCAACCAAATATCGATAACATATCGATAATAGGAAGTAAGTTCTCTACTGGGCAGTCAAGAAATGAGAAATACAACCTTTTTTTTCCTACCAATGGGCTACCAAGCAAGCAGTGCAATAACAATGCATCGTTGATAAAGTGATCCACTGCTACTTTTTAACATGTTCCATTGTAATCATAACAAGAGTACAGGACATTAAACCACAAGACACTTACCTGAGCAGAGAATTCTTTTGATTGAATAAGAAAATCTCGAATATGGTTCTTAAAAGCATGGATATCATGTTTTGACTCGAAAAGCCCATCAATAAATTGAGTCACCTGCAAAAGATCAAAAGCTAAGGCTTCATATGCTTGATAACTGAAAGACAATAAATAAATGGCGGGCCACCTCTGCAGGAGTCATGTTTGGGAATGAAGTTCCTAACAGTTTGATGGTGTAATCCCGCACAAATGCTGTGTTATTGGGGAATGGATAAGGAACTGATGAGGCATCCCACAAAGGCTCGGTCAATGAGCCAGAGTCAACCTGCGAAGGAAACATAAAATTAAGTAAGAATGAGTAAAATACTTCAACAGAAACTAGTAAAAACTTCTTACCAGGCCGAACAAAAGTTGGAGAACCACTACATGGAGCTTGAAACCTGGCTTATGGAATGTGTCCGTTAAGACAGCAAATATTTCTTGTTCAATTATCAAGAAGTAAGTCCTATAAAATTGATTACGGAACTCTGAAACCTGTACATAACAGAGCAATGAACCAACTGAGTTTAGGTGAAGGGAAGAAATGGTAAGGGAGTTGTGCTAAACCTGGTAGTTCTTCAATAACTCAATTAGAAGGTTGAGGCCAGTTTCAGCAATATTCCTTTCGGTGTGCCGAAAGGCCCAGATGATCGAATCCATAACCACCTTTACTTGCTGGCAAGGAGTAGATTAATAGTTCAGCAAAAAACAGGAATATAAAATGAATCATGATATACACAAAATAACAAAGCCGGTTTATGTTATCTTAAGCAGACTAAAAGGCATTACATATATCACCAGTATATGTGTGATGGCGCATGCACTAAAAGAGGGAGGTACAAGGGGAGGGAGGGAAGGATTTTAACCTGAGTTGATAACTGAATTAAAGCTTGGAAACAGTGTGTAGCAATTGCACGCAACAAAGAAAAGAACTTCAATCGATGCTCTGGGTAATCTTCAAAATTCCTTGTGATCATCTGCATTTGGATAAAATTTTAGATGAGTGCTAGAAACCTTCAGTCTGTCTGCACATGAGCTCACCTCTAAAGTACACTGGAATACTGCTTCAAATATGCGAGGCACGTCTTCTATCATTAAGCTTTTATACCTGCAACCAGATTGGAGAAATTGCAAACTAAGAAACCTTAACGTGGAGAAGGATTTACCTGAATTAAAAATATAGACAAGATTAAAACACATAATAAGAGCAAAACTGATCAGAGAAGACCTAAAGGGGATGTTTGGTTTAACTTGATATAAAATTTCAAATTTGTAGAATTCACGTGAATTCAAAAAGTCCTAAAAAAGAAATATCTGCAGCATTTCATACATCCTTGATGCAATAAACATAATTTTTGTAAATCATTTTGATAAAAAAACCATAGATCCATATTACCTAGGGGTGTCAAATCTTGACCCGACCCGAAACTCGACCCGAACCCGACCCGAAAAATTCCGGGTTCGGGTCAACCCGTTTGCATTACGGGTCGGGTTCGGGTTCAAACTTTTAACCCGTTTGTAAAACCGTGTTGGGTTCGGGTAGACCTGGAAACCCAAAATCGACCCGTTTTGACCCGGGAAAATGACTTGTCGCATCATACGCCAGTCCGAGTGTCTGGCTGTCCCGTCGCCTCATGTCGTCGCGTCGCTCAATCTCGTCAAGCTTCGCATCGCGAGCAGGCTTCGCATCGTCGTTTAGCCAACTCCGGTCTCAGGTGCTTTGTCGCTCCACGCCTCCACCTCCTTGTGCCGCCTCGACCACGCTAAGTCCAGCATCCACGGTCCACCTCCCTCGCGATGCTCCGGTCGCACCGCGGTTCCGCCTCAACCACCTTAGTGTTCGGGTCGTTCGACACTTTGAACAGAAGCAGACCCGAAGCAGACCACAGGCGTCAGTTTTCACGGGTCGGGTCGGGTCGGGTCAATCTGTAACCTGCACGGGTCGGGTTCGGGTTAAAATTCTGGACCCTCTTGTAAAACCGGGTCGGGTTCGGGTTGACCCGGGTTAACTTGGGTTCGGGCCCGACCCGCCGACCCGTTTTGACACCCCTAATATTACCTTAGCTCTACCCTTCTTAATCATCTGACACTAGTTTTATTTGCTGATCAGATAGGTGCATTTTTAGCCTTTGTAGTAAATGTCTCCAATTTAACAAGATTTATATTCAAATAGCTTGTCATAAATAAATCACTCTAACAGTGGTTGAGAGTTTAACTCCAACATCAAATCTCTCTAAATTTTTTTTTTTTAAAAGGCCTCTGGCCTAAACTTGGCTCAAATGCTTTGAGAGCTGAACCATGAGCCAAAAAGTCAAATTGACATTGTTTATAATTGTGCAATCTAAGGCATGCCTCAAGCTAAGGCACACAGAAATGCCTTAAGGCATACGCCTCACATTCAAGTGAGGCGTTTACCTCAGTCATGTGAGGTACACCTCAAGGCATTTATAATGAGGTGTATGCCTAAATTTCTCTATTATGCTATCATGGCATTTTTAAATTATAAACCAAAAGCCCAATTAACATTATAATTCATAACTAAACCTATTTCATTAAAAAAACAAGAACCGATAACCACAAATCATTCACAAGCACTATGCTGCTTAGGAGCCACAGCTACAACTATGTCCTCGCTATCGCTACTGTGCTACCACTAACCTTAACTGGTAGCTTTTTCTGCTTCCTAGTTTCTTCTCTTATTTATTTCTTCATTTACAAATTTTGTTTTCTTCAATGTTCTCCATATTTTATTGTGTTTAGGAGTATTTCATTTTAAAGTTATTTAAAAAGTGTGAGAACTTCTGCAAAGAGTTCAATGGGACGTCTGGGAAATTATAGAAGCAAAGTGTCAAGCCCAAATTTTCAATAGTAGCAATACACATCTTTATTTACATTAGATATTTGGTTCTTATTTGAAATGTTATCTCTATTTTAAATTTAAGTCTTTGTTTTAGGCTTTTTTATCTTTTTGCCCCTAAGGGTTGTTTTAGTATAAATAGGGGCGCTTTGTATTGTTTCAAAAAGAGAATGCATAATAAAAATAATGTCCAGATTTTATGTCCAAAACAGTGAGCTTTCGGCCCAGACAGCAAGAAGTAGCAACGGTGGAAATACCCATGTGCTGCTAGCCAGCGGGTCCAGGTAAGGGAGATTGCAGAAGAGGTGACCAGCGGGTTAGGTGGAGCCGGTGGGTGCTGGAGAAGGTGCAGGAATTCAAGATCTCTTCCTTCTTGGTATGTTTTTCTCAACAATTAGTATCAGAGATTTGTCAAAAAAGAACAAGGGGAAGGAGAAAAGTCTTTCTTGAACTCAAGAAGTCGAGTTTCTGGGCAGTTTTTGGGTAAACAGCAGGAGAAGTTTCCTAGGCTGTTTTTTCCCTGGACAGGAGTGGAAACTTTCTTGGTTGCTTTTCCCTTGACAGCAAGTGGAAGAAAGGTTTTTCTGAGCTGTTTTTTTCTCTGGACAGCAGGTGGAGGAAAGAAGGGTGACCGGCAGTGGAAGCTTTCTTGGCTGTTTTTCTGGACAGCAGAAGAAGGTGGACCGCAGTGGAGCAATTTTTCTTTTGGCTGTTTTGTGTACAGCAGCTGATCTGAATTGCCGGAAGCAACATTCTTGAAGGAAGATGTCCATGACGCAACTTAAATTTGAGAAATTCACAGGTCTCACTGATTTTAGCCTATGGAAATTGAAGATGAAGGCTCTTCTAGTTCATTAAGGTCTTGATGCAACCCTATCGGAGAAAGGGATCTTGAGGATAGAAGAAAAACTGCACAGGGATGTGCTTAATAAGGCACATAGTGCAATCCTTTTGTGCCTATTAGATGAAGTTCTAAGAGAGGTTGTAGATGAAGGAACATCAATAGAGATTTGGAAAAAATTGGGATCTCTATATCTCAAAAGCTCTCTGGTCAATAGGCTTTATCTCAAGAAGAAGTTGTACACCTTGGAAATGGATGATTCCAAGCCGTTGAAGATAGCACATCTAAAGATGATAGACATGTCAAGATAATCATTGTAGTAAAAATAAGGATTGGAGAAGAAACAGAATCTTTGATCCATTTTTTGTGAACATTGAGGAGAATAAAATAATTTTCCCTTTATGTGTCGCTGTTGTTTATGATCATACGGAATAAAAAGTATTATTCCTAAAATGATCTTTGTACAAGAATATCCCTTTATGACAGTTGAACATAGATGACTTAATATTTTGATGAAATCAAGGAACCCCAACAACCGCAAGATAGTTACTATTAAAGAAGAATACGTGTTGGTTATATAGTTGAAAAAGAAAAACTTAAAAAAAAAGCTCTAAATTTAGTGAATAGAGTTTCACAAATAAGTGACATATAGACTTCAAGCCAAGCAAATGATTATGAGTTTGACCATATATTAAATGAGTTCAGATTGTAAATTTCAATCTAGGATCATTAGTTTTAATTATTATATCCTAATCTATATCTTTCATATTGTTTACAATAAATCTAACATACCAAAAAACATGTTAAACCTAGGTATCTCAATATCACATATTCACATCCACTAAAATTGTAAATCATATGCTTAATGTACCTCTAAAAAGTGTATTTCTGTTCTTTAATAATCTATTCCACTCATTAGTCCATAAAAAACCTTATTATCAATATAAAATCAATTTATGAATTCTCTTCAAACTTCTACGTCAATTTTATTAATGACCCAGCTATCTTATCTTACATCAATTTTGGTTGAACTAAAGAATTTCAATTTTCCTACCTCAAAAGTCTATCTCAAAAGATTACCAAATTAGCACAATTTAAATCCCACCAAAATAACCTCAGGCAATAATTTATTTTGATTGTTTCAGTATATCTTTACAATGCACATTCATAATAACTATTTTAAGCTATGTGATCAAAGTGTCTGCTGCAATTAACTGACAATCTTCAGAAGAACTTAAATTCTTTATCATACATGAAATTAGTTTTCAAGTCATATTGCAATCTCTTTTTTTAGTGCCCCAATTCGTTTAAGCAAGAGCCTAGGCTCAAACTTCAGGCAACTATATCATCCAGATAGCACCTAGTGATTTTGACAACTCTGATGAGTGACTACTTATAAAATTATCATGTAACATGATTACAAGCTTATGCATATAAGCAAAAATAGTATAATGTATTTAACGATTATAAGCAACTGTTCTTTATAATACGAAACAAAGTAATTCCTAGAATACCTTCCTCAAGGTAGAAAAGGTCAATGAAAAAGCATAGCATGGTTGCAAATATAAGGGAAACAATACAACTTATTTGAGGCCTGCATACATATGTACAGATAAATAAGCCGAAACAGAAAACTTAGCAGCTGATTACGAAGCAACAGAGAATAGTGCAGGGTTAGGAACATGAGCATACTTGTTTATAATTGTAGCAAATAGTGACAAGACTTCGGATTCCCTCGCATCAGGTACATTTCTTGCATAATCACCAAGAACAGGATCCATCATTGGAGGTACAAACTGCTTTCCAATTTGAGGTTGATCTTCAGCTTTGTCAACAAATGTTTCAATCAACTTAAGTGTTTCCCGTTTAACTGATCTGTTTAAAATAATAAATAAAAACCAATGGCTTAAACTTATAAAAAGAGAACTGAAAAGTATGAAAGACACAAGTGGCAATGGCTCATTAGTGGTTGAGTCTTTTTTGCAAACTAACCGAAGAAGTTTCACAAAAGATGTTCTCGAAGCAAATGGCCCCCCTTCTGCTATAGAGTTAGATATTAGCTCACTGTACATTCTGTTGGAAGAAGATGAATGGTTAAAAAAACATTAACAAAAGCAAATTATAAAAGTAATTTCATCTCTCTTCACTGCATGAAACCCGCTGAAAAGAACCCCTAAAAGAGATTTGATGCTATACCTATATACTGTTAGCATGTCCAAGAATATCAATGTTATTTGTGGCAAGAAAAATGGTCCCAGCGAACTAGCAACACTTGTGTTTGTCTGCCAGATAAATTAAATTAAGTTAATCAAAAAGGACACACAATGTCAACAAGTACTATAAAGATGAAGCTAACATTAAATGTTTATGCCCGTATACCCAAGTCAATTGTAACTAATATATTTTAGATAGAGCCGTATTCTCAACCAAATAGTAAGAATTAAACATTCATCTGCATGAATAAGCAAACTAAATATAGTTTAGTGTGCATGAAACTGATGCAGAGCTGTCTAGCAGCTGAAAGAAATGTTGTTGGTTTAAAATATCAAGTCTGTTAGCTCTCATCCATAGGCTTCAACTTTTGACTTGAAATAAGTTTGGTCACTAATATATTTAGTCCAACTTCAATCCATTTGTGGTTTCATAATCCCAAACAACTGGTATTGCAACCTTGGTTCGGTTGGGGATGAGTGGTTCATGTGATTTATGGCTCTCATGAATCTTAGTTACCTTTCCAACATAGCTAGAAAAGGTTCAGGAGAGGTTGACTCCCACACTGCTTTCAATGCATTGAGTTGGCTCTTAATGCATGATACTTGATGGTGTTGAGAAGTTTCAAATTCAAGTGAGAATGATGGTTGATGCGATGAGCACTTACACGAGAGATAGACTGTTCAAGGCATGTCATACTTAAAAAAAGTACAAAAGCATTCTTATTATTTCATGTTTGAATCACTCAATGGCCAGAAAATTAATTTCTTTCTTTTTATGTTCGCATTCTCGACATTCAAAGGGTATCAATAGTTGTAGGCTCTACTAAAAAAATGCTCGGGCAGGAGTCTAACTTGAAATTTGGTGGATAGCAGAAATTTGAAAAACAAAGAGTTATTTGGGGAGTATTGTATTGTAAATATACTTCATTACACTAGGTATGTCTCACCCACTGTACCCCACATTCTTAGTAGGCCATTTTCTCTTGAGAAACAAACATAAGTTGCATTATCCTGGCATAACATAAGATGAAGAACAGATAAACAATAAACTACATAGAAGATACAGCAATCTTCATCTAAATCAAAATTGGCATGATCACACGTGCGTGCCATCTATTTGAGCTTCAAAGTTAATCTTGAGATGATACTTGTCAGTAGCACAAAACATCATACACTCTGGCTCAAAAATAGCAAGGCACGCCCTAAGAATGACTGTTGTTGCAAGGTATAAAAAATAATTTAAAATAATGAGTGTTACTTGTGTTTTAAGTTCACTATAGCGCATGATGCAAGTAACTTGCACTATTTTACTTATTTCATGATAAATGATGACGATGAAACTATTTTTGTTGAAGGAGATGAAGGTAATCAAGAAAGCTAATATGAGGGAGTAATGATGAGGAAATTAAACTCTTTTGATTTATGATGATGATGATTCATAAGATGACTAGATTAATCTCACAACTAAATATTTGAATATCGCATGTTAACTTATATTTACTGCTAAGGTTAAATATGATTGAAAGAGAACGCAATTTGAGGAAACTTTTTGCAAGCATATTATTAATAGTGAAAATTGTATAAACATTGTCTCAAAATTTGTCTTTAGACTGCATAAATTTGAAACCTGAAACATAGCTACAACCATATAAAATAGCATAAGTAGATAAAACTGCTTGGTGCCTTAAATATATATATATTTAGTTCCTATTCAATCAGCTACCTATTTTGATAGAATATGGAAAGCTAAGTTGTTCATGGCCATTTATTATGTAATTCGGGACAGACATTGGCTTTATAATTTAAATGCTATTCATTTTAAGAAATCTAATAAATATGCTTTTCATACTAATGAGAGGAGTAATTTTTGAAAACTAGAAAACCTAAGAATATGTATGATATTTAGAAAAATTAAGCGCTCCCAACGAAGGGAAAACATCCTTACATATTTTGAGTACATATGCAATTGAGAAAAAGAGTAAGTGATAAATGCCTTAGTAGCTATGTAGTTGAATCATGTAGAGTTCAAGATCATGGTTTTGTTTGTTTGTGTTAATCAAATGTTGGATGATTTTCAAGATATTTATGCTGATGAACTTTTTAATTTATTACCAACATTGAGAAATAAATAAGATTGTGATGTAGTGCATGGATCATCATAACGTAATTTTTCATATTATAAGAAGAATCCAATAAAACAAGAGCAACTACAGAGACAAGTTAATAAATTACTAAAAAAATTATCAAGTAAATTACAAGTCCTTGCGCTGTAGTTGCTTTACTTTGATTTTAGAAGATGGAAGCTTTCATCTATGCGTGGAGAGCAGAGAAATTAACAAAATATCAATTAAATATGTGTTTTCTAAACCTCATTTGGATAATATGTTGGGTATGATAAATGGTGACATGACTTTTTTTTTTCGAGATTGATATGCACAATTATCCAGTCAAAATGATTGAAGATAAGAGAAAAATATTTTAAAGAATAAAAATGTATTGCCTTTTAGATTATATTTCAAGGCATATAATTGAATAACAATTATTTCTTCCAATATTGAATATTGTGAGTGCTAGTAAAATGTGATTGCTTCAAGTGATAGAAATGCGACTACATAATTCCGAAGGAATTTCATACAACTGAGAATCCATTACAATTATTTGCTAGTTTTGCATGTTTCAAATTTCACGTGATTTGTTTAGATTTATTAGATCATCACAACATCATTTGAGTTCTAATACTCGTATTTATTATTTAAAATAAAGAAAGTTTTAACTTATTTAGCGGACTACTAATGTATTAATACTTCTATTTCATTGCATGAGCCAGATTCATTACATCACAATAGTTGCATTAAGAAACCTAAACCCTAAACAATCATGCATCATGACTGCTTTGCCAACATAGTTTACTTTCAATCTAATTGTCTTTCATTAATTTTCATGCAAGACAACAAAATAATAAAATATTCTACTTGCCTTTTAAGGTATGATTTATCTTAATGTAGGTTTATTAAAAAGATATTCATGTTTTTCTAATATTTGCATTAATTTTAAAATAATATGTGCCATGCTATGCATGGCTCAAAAGGACATTGTTTCATGATGTGTTATTCGCTATCATCATTTATGCGTGGGTAGACACCTAGAAGCTCTCATTCCCTAGCATTTAAGGGATCTCCTCTTGCTTTATGTTATGCTAACGTCATTGTTTTTGTGAATAAAAGTTCCATTCAAGAACTCCCTTTATGTTATGTTAATGTCATTGTTTTTGTGAATAAAAGTTCCATTCAAGAAAGCACAGTCCCTGATCTCCAATTGTGAAGATTGAATGAACTGATTCATGATTTCTTCTATTGTAGTGTTAGTTTTATACCTTTCAATCTCCAAATTTCATGATTGTTAATACGTGCATCTAAAGCAGATTTAGAGTTGGATTTGCATTAAGTTTACTAAATTAATGCTTACATGTTATATCAAGTTTATTTTAATTATCATATCAAAACCAAAGAAATATATTTCAACTATCCTTCATGTGTAATTGAACTGCTGCATTTTTGCATGCCAGTGGACTCAATAGTACCTTAAATCAGAGCCAAGGTTAATATGTAATTTTTTCAATACTTGAAGGAATGACAGTTCTAAAATAGTATAAGCATTTTTCCGTCAAGGGCAGCAAAAGTTCAGCTGTACTGAATTGCTTAAGTGCATGGCAGCTTTTCAGCATGAAAATGGATAAACTTCATAAAGTTAATGTCAAGCACCTTAATCAGATTACGAATATAACAACTCATGGTCTAGAATTAAGTGATTGAAATAACATGCAAATGATAAAAATTTATGGCAAGCTTTTCCTTGCCGACCCAGATCTATAACCATGTAAAAAATAACGACTGCAGAAAGAAAAGCGAATTAGCAGCAATTATTCAGCTTCTTAGTAGGGAGAAACTACAAACCACTTTATTAATCAGTTAAACAATTGTAAACAGTAGAAAGTAATACTTCCACATGTTAAGGAGAAAGAAAACTTGTAATCACCAAATCAAATAATCAAAAGGATAAATTAAAATGAAGAAAAGTTCCTATTGTGATCCAAAAAATAATCACTAACGAATTAGGGCCAAATCAAGTTAAGCGAAGTGCATACTAAATAGCAAAAATTGCCAAATCTGCAGAGCAAACTTACCCACACGCCCTACTATATCAAGAACAAACAAACTAAAGAAACTTGGTAATGGCCAGGAAAAACAATTACTCAGTCACAGGTTGCAAACCTGAAGTATATTAAGAACTGTCCTTATTACATCTTGATCTTTTAATATATCAACACTCCTACTAGCCTGACCAATAATTTCAGCCCATCTCTGTATCAAAGTACACACAGACATCAAGAAAAAGTAGTTAGAATTCAAGAAAAATATTAAAAAAAGGAAATTTGGGTAGGAAATGGTTGCAGTGAGTTGGAACGTTTGCCAACCTGATTAGGAAGATCCATTAACCGCTTCAGGTATTCATCTCTTCTAGCAGGATCGGACTCTGCTTGAATCATATGCCCAACCTGAGAGCAGAAAGAGACATAAGCAATGAAGTTTAAAAAGTTGCTAAATGAGCAAATATCATAAAAGCATTGGGCACAAAATAAGGAAAATCCAACATACAGCTTCATAAAATGTATGAATCTGATGAGGCTCAAGATCTGCAATGGTGGATGCAAGGCTTGAAAGAAGTTCCGATAGAAATGGCTCATTCTCGCCTACCTGAGATTTACCAAGAATAGACATTAATAACAAGCAATTCCAAAAGTCACATACTATACCAAACCAGATCAAGATATGGCTACTTAATAAACCAATTAAAAAAATATTAAATATCAGGAAGAAAAAGAAATTAGATTTGGTAAGGGAAAAGAAAAAAAAAACAATTTAAAAGAAAAAAAAACAATTTCGAGGATACACAGAAAAAAAATGAAAAACAAAGCTGTCAAGCAAGGTTAGATCACTGACAAATAATTTCAGATGAGTTTGAATCCATGAAATGTTACACCTAAAATAAACACAAACTCCATTGTGTGTAGGACGTTATAAACTATGGTTAGCTATTACGGATCTACAGTGAGACACCAAAAATAATTAAAATTATCTTAATTTCGACAACTATTCGATACTTCAGATAAAAAACCGAACAGAACCTCAATGCAAATGACAATGTTTGACTCGGTAATGATTTGATTGCATGCCAGCACAAGCTCAAAAAAGCCTCGTCATATTTCTTCGTTTTGTGCTTCCACAATGTAATGACACGATGTTCTAATACCCTTCTTATATACTAATCTCTGATGTCTTCCAATTTTATTAAGCTCAATTTCCAATTATCCTTAGAAGTTAAATGAGGCAAGCTTGAGCTACAACACTCAGTGATTTCAATTTTGAATCAAAGGAATGACAATTTGGGCCTGAGCTGGGCTTTCACTTGATTGAGTTCAAATAAATGACAGCACTAAAAGCATTTCTTTCTTTCTTTTTTTCTTTTCTTTTCCTTTTGAAACACAAATGTATTCAACATTTTTCAGTGTTGCACCCTGTAAATTCATCAACAGGAAAAAAAAAATTGCAATATTTTTTTATCAACAAAACAACTGTAGTCTTCAAATTTTAATTCAAGCATCCTCCTGAAAAGCATGTCAAGATGAATAGAGCATCAAGTTTACAAGTAACTTGAGACAAAAATTAACGCAAATTTTTCAGAATATCTTGCCAAAAAAACTTTTTATAGAACTTGTTTTTTTATTGTAAATGTGATGGTACCATCAAAGAAGTATAAAAAACGATAACTTATGAACAAGGCCACAATCTTATATGGCAATAGATTCAGAAATAAGATTAGACAACAAAATACAGAGTAGACAATAATATACCTGGGTAATTATAAATTTCCGCTTACATTTCTGAACAATTTTAAGAAAAGTATCACATGCCATATCCTGAAAGTAAAAAAAAATGACAGAATATAAATTCAAAATCATATAACTATTTTCTTAAACTAAATCATAGATATAACATCAGGTATAATTTCCAGTAATAGTCGACAAAAAAAAAGGTTCCAAGAAGACATCTCCATGCACCAAAAATATCATAATTCAACAAGAATTATGAGAAAACACATCATGATCCATATAAAAGGAAGCACCTAACAGACAAAATAATATCGAGCATATGAGCAAACAACCCAGCACCATATAAGATAGTAATTTAGAAGGTATAACAACAGCAGTGAGAAAAATTAATTACATAACAGCTTTAAGAAGACTGTAAAAGCTCTCAAATGTTACCCAACTATTTATGTACAACATCATGAATCATTAATATCTGGTGCGGACATACAACCGCCCATGCCTGTCCGAGGAGCTGAAGATCGACGACCGAAATCACTTTGTTTTATTTTAGTTTATTAAGTGTATTTTGATTTAATTGTGCAATTTCCCCTCTTGTCTTATGCCAAGGGGAAAATGTGTCTTTTAATTTCTTTTGAGGCCTATATATAGAGACCCCTTCTCATGTATTAGATATGATGGAATTATAATAAAAAAATTTTGTGTTTTGCACTTGTGTTCTTTGAGAAGAACGTTAATGAAATCCCTATGGGAGGGAGTCGGAGTTTCCACCAGCCGCAGGATGGGTCCAAGCTCGTGGCATGAAGTCCCTTGGAGAAGGGTAATGTAGTACCCGTCAGCCGCAGGATGTGTCCGGGCTCTTGGTTGTATCTTTTATATTTTGTTTCTTTGTTTTTGCTCCTTATTGCTCATAGTCGTCATCTTCATCCTCTTCCTACTTCCACCAAACCGGACTTAGCTCCACCACCTCTCACAGCCAAGCCACAAGCCGCCAGCCATCCCCTTGGTTTCCTCCCCTCTCCACTTGTCATCAAGTCTTTCCTAAATTAGTTTTCATATTTTAGGTAATTATCTTAATGATCATATTCAAATTTATTTAAATTTGAATAGTTGCCTAATTTCTAAACCTATTTTAGGAAACTTACTAATTGATGAAATCTTTTCATGCCAAATTTAGTTTATTAATTTAAGTTGGCATTGAATGCCTCATTAATTCATCCCCTCTCTTTCCCTCACTACGCCTCATGCTCAATTTAGAATTGGATAAATTTTGGACATAATTTTGAATTCTAAATACTTAATTTGAAATTCAAAATGTTTCCTAATTTACCAAATCTATTTTAGGAATGCTCTTAAATTAAATCTATTTCAAATTCAAATTCAAATTGGATTTATTTAGTCACTTTCCTAATTCCTAAAGGCCTTAATTAAATAATCCAAATCATCTCCCCTATCTCCTCCATCATCTTTAAACCGCCGGCCCTTTAATAAATCCCCTGGATTTATTTCCTAATCCTCTATTCCCACTTGGAAAGAATTTAAAACCCATCCTCATGACCTGGCAGAAATTCCCCTTGATGCATTCACCTCATTAAATCTTTCCAAACCCATTGTTCTAAATTGGAGATCACGTCAGGCCTTCATCCCCTTGCTCGCCGAAACTTCCCCATACATGTACTCTCGTTCCCTACCACAAATCTCTTCCCAATCTCCATCTAACGGGGAGTTTTCTACCTTCCTAGGCTGCAGCCAGAGAATTTCAGCAACTATTGTCTTTCCAGTGATGTGAAGCTTCAAAGCTACTGTTTTACAAGACCAACCTGCTGTCCATCTATTCCTTTCAGCCCAAACTGCTATACCCTCGATGAAGAAGACTTCCTTTGCTATTTGGCACTTTCCCAGACTCAAAACAACAAAGTCTCCCATAAACCCCATACCGCTTTACATCAATATCGCTTCCAAGTTAAGCACTGTGATTAAAGTTAACCATGGCTTAAAAAAATTAATCAACAGCTTTACGCCTATGTACAAAATTAATTATTTCTAGCTCATAAGTTAATAGGTAGATAAGAGCTGAAGGACAGATGCTTAATGATCGCAACAAATGGATTCAAGTACAAAAAAGATTCTCAAATCCATGATATACAAAAGAGATGTCATGGTTTGTTCATGGCCAATAACAATACTAACTCCAAGATTTATAAGGCCATCAACAATCAGACTTACTTAAAAAGCCTATATCATCTTAAGGAATGAGTAAAAAAGTAATGTTTTTTCATCTAGAGCAGTGATGAACAAATGAATGTTTGATTTATAAAAGAAATTAATTCAAGCACACAGGTTGTTATCAAACCCAGGATATACAAAGGAGACTGGTTTCTTTATGGTCAATCTCGTAAGAAATCTAAGAAAGTAATATGTGATGCAAATATTTTTGCTTTTAATGATTTATATAATAGTTTAGATACAAAGAATGACGAAAGATATATGTATAAGTTAGCCAAACAAAGAGATATAAGTAGTAAGGATTTAATTCAAGTGAACTGCATTAAGGATGAAGATCAAAAATGCTATTATTAGAAGACAATATTCAACAAAGGTGGATGAGATATTTTGCTAAGCTTTTAAATAAAGATTATGAGAGTACGATTGAATTTAGTGACCTTAGCACCTTAAATGAAAATAAAGAATTTTGTTTTTATAAGCGTAAAAGTAAAACCGAAATTAGAGATGTTTTAAAGAAAAGGAAGTGTTAAAAAGCTGTTGAACCTGATGATATTCCAACAGATATGTAGAAATGCTTAGGGGATGAAGGAATTTCTTGGCTTACTGAATTTTTTAATATTATTTTGAAAATTAAAAAGATGCAAGATGAGTGGAAAATATGTGTTGATTCCTATTTTTAAGAATAAGGGTGATGCACAAGGTTGTGTGAATTGTAGATGAATTAAGTTGATGTGCCATACTTTAAAATTATGGGAGAGAGTTGAGGAGCATAGGTTACAACGTGATACTAATGTTTATCAAAATCAATTTGAATTCATGTCAGGTAGGTCTAAAGATGAAAGTTATATATTTATTGAGAGGTTTGATGGAAAAGTATAAAGATAATAATGAGGATCTACATCTGATATTTATTGATTTAGAGAAAGCATATGATAAAGTTTCAAGAGAAGTACTATGGAGAGTTCTAGAAAAGAAGGGGATTAATAATATTTATATTCAAGTCATTAAGGATATATATGCAGGAGTTGTTTTGTGTTCAAACACAAGGTGGTTTGATAAGTATTTTTCAATTTCAGCTGGATTACATCAAGGATCAACCTTAAGTTCATATTTTTTTTGCTTTAGTCATGGATGTTCTCACTAGACATTTGCAAGAGGTTGTACCATAGTGTATGCTTTTTGCTGATGATATTCTTCTTGTTGATAAGGCTAGAGAGGCTAGAATTATGGAGGTCAACCTTAGAGTCGAAAGTTTTTTGTTTGAGTAAATCTAAAACCGAATATATGGAGTGTAATTTTAGTAGTAATAGATCTAGTAGGGGATTATAACTTAGGGTGATCAAGTCATTAATAAGAATACATGTTTTATAAATCTTGGGTCTATTGTTCAGAGTAATAGGTGAAATAGGTGGAGATATTATTAATAGAATTCTAGTTGGATGGTTGAAGGGGAGGAATGCACTGGGCTTATTGTGTGATAGAAAAGAGCCCCTCAAACTTAGAGGAAAAAGCTATTATAAGATAGTGGTGAGACCTGCAATTTTTTATAATGCAAAATATTGCCCATTAAAAGAAAAGCATAATATTAAGTTAAGTGTTGCAGAGATGAGGATGCTCAGGTGGATGAGTGGCTTTACTCTTAAACATAGGATACGAAACGAGCATATACGTGAAAAGGTTGGAGCAGCTCAAGTTGAAGATAAAATAAGAGAGAGTTTCCTTATATGGTAAGGTCACATAAAACGTCAACCTTCTGACGCCCAAGTTAGGAGAGTAGAAATATTATATTTGGCTTATGTTAAGAAAAGTTGAGATAGACCTAAAAAGGCTTGGTTAGAAAATATTAGAAATAACCTTTCTTTATTAGATTTAAATGAGAATTTGACACTTAATAGGGCACGATGGAGAAAAAGAATCCATGTAGTCAACCCCACGGAGTGGAAGGCTTGTTGTTGTTGATACATCTTGTTCCAAAATGACAACAGCTGCATGAATTCTTCTAATTACAATTGTAATTGTAATGTTTTCTTTGATGCAAAAACTAGTAAGTACAAAACAAACCATTCAAATTTCACTTGGATAAATATGTATTGGGATTTTCGATCATTGAAAGACTATGGGCTCCAAAAATTCGTGTCCCGGTCCCTCCGCGCCTCCTTTCTCTTTTTCAGGTTGTCGAGCAGAGTTTTAACAAATATGTTTTGAGGCAAATTTTCAGAAGACATACTGGGTTTTGAATAAGACATTACCCAAATATTTCACCCTCATTTTTTGAGGACTTTATTATCTGAGTTCAGGTTTCCTATAGACGCAAGCCCCAATAGTTAATTACCCCTCTTGATAACGAGAGAGATCTTTAGATTAATAAGGCTAGTCACCAAACAGATACATAGTATCCGGTGCTCTGTTTAAAATTGCGCAATTAGAGGCGCGCCTTTGCGCAATTCCTCCCAAAAACGCCTCATAACCTACGCAATTCTGTGTCTTTAAGAGGCGTACGCCTCACTGGGACTGAGGCGCGCCTCAGAGGTGCAATTGCGCAATTCCTGGTGAGGCGTACGCCTCTCTGGAATAGGGCCCACTCACTTAAAATGAGCCATTTTCTCTCCTTTTACCCGATAGCCTTCAGCAAAGAGCAAACCCGACATTTCTCCCTCCCGCACGCTCCAGGTCACGCCTCAGAGATCCCGCACGCCGTCGGCCTCCTTCCCGCCGGCGCCGCCTCTCTCCGGCAAAGTGGAAACTTCCGGCCGCCCTCTAGGAGTACTCCACATTGGATTTTAGGTATTTTTATTAAGTTTAGGGATATATTTTTCAAGTTTAAGAAAAACTAGGGTTTAGGTTTTTTTATTTTTTTTTAGTGTATTTGGTTTTTTGCTTTAGGAGACATGGTTAGAGGTAAAGAAAAGACGAATACGTCATTGCGGAGGGACCCTTCTTGGAAGTATAGTGTACAAGTTGACATTGGCGGCGGAGAGAAGAGTTATGTTTATTTGAGGACCCATTAGTGTGATGATGTGTCGTCTGATAATGAGTGGTTCATAGATGATGAGACAGATCTGTCATTATCAAACTTACAGTTAGAAGATCTAAGTGTGGATGTCTTGAGGGGGGAAGCAGATCAAGTTGGCACATCCACTAGTACTACACCACACACATCCACTAACTCTGCAACACAACAATCAAGTAAAGGTATTCCACAACTTCTTATATGCTATTACATTACATTTATGTCAAGTGAGCAATGAACATGAATACATGATAATGATCTTTTCTCTTAATGAACAGGGAAGAGAAAAGTGAGTCATGTTGAAGATGAAGATGACATGGCATTCATAGATACAATTGGAGAAGAAGATTCACTTGAAGACCCATTTAGTGATGGGATATGATTTCATTTTATATGTTTTTTGTATTTTGGGAGTTTTGTTAAACTAGTATTTTGTGATTTTGTACTTTGGGACATGATTTTATTGCATCTACTTTCTTATTTTCCACTATTTTCATATATCATTTAGATGTTTTTATTGTAAGGTACAACATTGCTATTATTTTCCTGCTAAAATCCTTAATTTTTCATTTACGCAATTCTGTGTCCGTGAGGCTTACGCCTCAGACCGCCTCGAGGCTTACGCCTCGCCTCACGGACGAAAACCGCCTCGAGGCTTAATTACGCAATTTTAAACCTTGATCCGGTGTATAGTAGTAGCATGATTAGGTTTTTGAAAATTTAACATTTAAAATTAGAAATTCGCCACCTTATACTTAAAGTGGATGGTGGGGGGATGATTATAGACCTGATCAAGATCCTATGGTTTCGTCGTCTCAGTTCATCATGATCCTTAGTCTACTTGGTAAGAAGAGGTAGTCGACCCAACCTGACAAAAGGATCGTTGTCGGCAGTCATGGTTTGTTTCGTCCAAGGGTACTAGTAGACCTAGGGTGAATATTTGTCTAAGGAGATAAATTTGAATCCACCTTAGCTAACAGAGGACTTTGTGCCCTATCGGTCATATCAAATTGATTCATTGCTCAATGATTTCATATCATTGGAGAACATACGGGCTCTAACCATGGACGTAATTTAATGGTACAAGATCTGATAACCCATATGGATCATGGGTCCCTGAGACCCTGGATCTCTTCACTTCTACACCAAATCATACCCTCGGTCTACTGGCACACCTTAGGTCAGACAGTCCAGAGTAGTTGTGCTGGGAGACATTACACTATGAGGTTGAGTTCCACATTAGGCGGTTGATGTCTCTCTCCATTGTATGGACCAGAGTGTCGTTGTCTGAGCTATAAGAGAGAGTTAGCAAACGTCGAGCGACGGTCAATATTGCACATGACCAATTTGACAGGAGCATTGAGACTTTGAGGAGACACCCATGCTGTAGACTTTGAGGAGACACCCATGACCAGCGAGATAGAGGGGCCGTCATCTCTGGTGAATGACCTCTGGAAGTGCATCAAGGGAGTGCTGTCTCGAAAGAATGCCTTGTAGGAGGAGTGATTGATAGGATCACCTCACCAGGAGAGAGCAGCAACGCCATCAGATGTTGCATTAAGCAATGTAAGATGCTAAGGCGTACTGACTCAAGCAGTAGAGGAGCATAATACTGTTGAGGCTGAGTACAAAACTTTAACTGAGATCGTCGCACAACGGAGGGATATATAGACTCGACTCCTCTGACATGTCTTACCCTCTCTTCTTTCTTATGAGATGTACTTAGTTATTTCACCTCTTAGTTGAACTTTGCCCGGAGTGTGTTGTATGATCATACATTTATTTTATAGAGGATTTTCTTTCACTTTTCTCTCCCTTGTCTGTATTTTAGTGATGTTGGTAAGTTTGCATGAGATTTTAAATATTTATTTGGGGATCTCGGCACGCAGCGTAATATCGACCCAAATAATATTTAAAATGTCCCTTGCCTTTGGAGAAAGTTGTGAATGTTGTTCAGAGTTTTCCCGAGCTTTGCAAGTTCACCAATTAGCAGGACTTCGCCGCCTCAAGCCTTCTATAGTTGCCTTCAGCTCAGGTGCGCCCTCTTCTTATGTTCTATATATGTGCCATTATGTTTTATAGGATGTTTATATTTTACATTGTTAATTCATCAACATATAATTCTTCAACGCCATACTATGCACCAAGCTGCTATGGCTCAAGAGGACCCATACACTATAATGCTCTATTCACTGCAGATAAATATGATAACCTTTAAATTCCATTATGATTAAGCAAAAGTTTAAAAATAGATTAAAAATTGGGATGAAAAATATCACCTGAACTCCCGGATGAGTCTCATGCATGAATTCAAACAATTTGTTCACAACTGTTTTCAGAAACTTCCAATGTGCCCTTAAAAATCTTGGATATTGCCCAACAACATACCTGGTAATTATCAATATATCAGTGAGTAGGGCGAAAGAAAAATCAGAAAGAAAATCAGAAACAATTAAAATAAGTAAAGATTCACACATGATATTGCTAGCAATAACTGCTTTGTTATCTTTTCCCTTGGTAATTTCGCACAAACTCAGTAAGTCCCTGATGACCATCACGAGAAATCTATTTTCCTGTCAAGCATGATTGCTATCAATGAGATGATAATAGCAAATTGTACTATGAATGACTCAAAGCAAAATGAGAAATAAAATTTTGCATACATGGCCATTTGAATGCCCTTTATCAAATTATAAATGGGTATGGAAATGAAAATAATAGAAGTATCCATGTTTATAAGAAAATAATGAAAACAAAAACAATAGGTGACAAAAGAAAGATATCTAGTAAAGAAAAATATGGGTTATGGATTCTCAAGCACAAAAATTACTGCAGATGTACTTCTACAAGTGGAACACATAAAAGCTACAAGTTGGGCCAAAAAAATTCCAAATAAAATCCAAATATTAACATAAATAAAAAAATAGAAGGTTCACATTCAACCTTTACCCTAGCAACATAAGAATTTTCTCTGCTTGACCCAATATGTTTAAAGAAAAAAGCCAGTTGTCAAAATGTAATATCCCTACATACCGATGATTGCCCAAGATATGTTCCATTAGCATTCATTAGTGATGCTGGACCATTTATTATACAGATCCAATTGTGTCATCAAATAAAAATCGAACAGGGATGGCATAAGCTGTTGCTTTAGATACGAGTAAAAATGCTTTTCTTGTTTCGTACACACACAAAAGAAAAACAAACTGGCTGGTTTTGACTTTTAGACAACTTTCTTCACCAACCATTCCAATTAGAAACGTAATGACAACACTCCACAGACCATCCACATCTTCTAGTTTAATCCAAATTGTTTTGGGTGTGTGCATAATAAATAATTCTCAATCATTCATGTTGACTATTGTAGATGATATTAATTCAAATCAAAAGCCTTCTTCACAACATAAACAAATATTAGATTTGGTCCACCCCATCCTTTCTAATATTTTTCACACTATTTCTATCTCTCAACCTTAATGGCACAAATTATGTACTCCTATAATATTATAACGAAGAAGCAGTACTACAACAATCTTTATACTTATTTCACACACTAGACTTCCTAGGTCATATTTTAATATTCTCATGCAGAATAAATTTGTTGGTCATAAATTTAGAAACCTTCTTCACCATCCATTACAATTAAGAAAGTACAAGCATCACTAAATTAGAACATTCACGTCATCTAGCTTCAACCAAATCATTTGGGTGTGCAATCTATGAATCCTTCTCATTCATTCATACTTCTTGATTATTGCATATGATGTTTATTGAAAGTCATCCAAAACTTTCCACAATACTAGCGTTCATCCACATCTTTCCTTCTCAATATTTTCACACAATTCTGCCCTCAAACTCATTGGCACAAATTTTGCACAGTGATATAAATGTCGATCCTATATATGTCTATAATCATAATATTAGAATAAAGAGGAAGGGCATCTCCAACATTCTTTATATTCATTCCAGAAAGCATCCATCCTAGTTCATCACACTCAACTTAGCCGCTTGCATTTTTTAAACAAATGTTTCATATAACATAATCAATACTGTTGGGATTCCATAATATTCTACTCACCTCCAAAATATTCTCTTATTAGATGGCACACACATGAACTCTCTTTTAACCACACAACTTTAGCTCTCCACTCTTTATGTAATAAATCATAGTAATTAAATCTACCTATGACAAGTATAACTAGCAGTATTGATTGAACAATGTTATTTTTATTACCATTAAATTTGCATAAAAAATTATTAGTTTTTGTTAAGCTAATTATAATCCATAATCTTCTAATTTTTTGCCTAATTTATTTGATTTTTTTAATTTCAAAAAAATGACTCATTGAATAAGACCACGTTCGATAAAAAAAATATAACATGAGATAACATTTGAATAATTGTTTTAAATGCATCCACGACTAATACAAAAGGACATGAATATGCCAATATGTCATTGAACCCTAATGCAAATCTCCTATAGGAGAAAAATTCCGATAACAAGAGAGTAGGACCAAATCTTGAAAATTGTTTCATCATAGGAAACCTTGATGCTTTTATGTTTCTTAAAAAACTTTTCAGATTAATACCTGCAGAATAAATTCTCATAATAGTTGATCATGAACCTCTACACGGTAAAGAGAAAACTATATTAAGGTTTTTTTGTTGCTCTAGTTTCTAACTAATTATTAGATTTAAACGAGAATTTGACTTTTAATAGGACACAATGGAGAAAAAGGATTCATGTAGCCGACCCCACGTAGTGGGATAAAGGCTTGATGTTGTTGTTGTTGTTGTTGTAGTTTCTAACTAATTACACAGGTTGATCGATTAAGGCCAAATTTGACTTGTTAGTTATGGTTTGAACCTAAGATTGAGTTCATATTAGATCAAATTTTGATCTTCTAATACAAATCCCTATTCCAAAATATAAGCAATATATAAACAAAGATACATGCATGATAAATCCAAAGATGCATAAATGTAATTAGAATTAAACACAAGGATATGCATAGAGAACACATGTAATTTACTACGATCTTAATATAACTTCAATTCAATCCAAGCCAAACTTAATCCAAATTTGATTCTACTCAAGCTCAACTTTTTTGTCAAATTGTTGATTTCAATTTGAACTCAAATTGACTCAAAAAATTGATCCAATTTTTTTTTGGCCAATTCCTGAACCCTGTCCTCATTCTCCAACTCATTTGGCATTCTTTTCATATTTAGGATTTCTTCAAAATTTCCGTAAGCCACACTGATTCAATCTCTTTTAACTTCTAAATAGGAATGGATGCCCATATAACATTAATTTTCTACCTTTCTTCTCAAAACTAATTTAACTTCTTTTTTTTCACTATTAGTCGGTTCTATAATAGTCCCCTCACTTTTTAGTTCATATAAATACAATTTTTAAAGCTTTAATCAGTAATGTGACAAAAAAAATTTGTTCTTCTTCCTTAATGTGTTTTCCATTAAGCATAATCCAATTAAAGTCACTTTATATAAATTAATCTGATCAAAGTTTATGAAACTCATTTTCCTTCCTTTTCTATTTTATTAATTTCATTTTCACCTTTCTTATAAATCAGATCTCGCCAAACCTACAAAATTTTTCACGTCTCCTCAAACAATAGTTTTTCCTACAACCTCCAAAACCAATATGATCAACAAAACAAGAAATAGGCATAAGCTAAACAGCCCTCAAGATCTAAATGACTCAATCAATCCACACCTAAAATTGGATTTTATATTTTAATTCAATGGGAAATCATCCCAAGTCGACCTAGCCTAACTACAAGAGGGGATGGGGGTTGGGTGCATCAACATGCCTGAGCTATCATCCTTGTTCTAAGGAGTGATGGAAATATCCAAAGACCACAGTTCAATTAAGGAGGGATATAGAAAAAAACACGTCAAAATTGTTGTTAAAGAATGAAAATGCAAAAGAGAAGACAATCAGAATTACAATGTATATAAAGAAAAAAAAATAAATCTAATCTTTATAATGCAAAAATGTACTTAGCAAACCTAAAGATGTATTCCATACCAAGGCATATTCAAGAACGTGTATATCATAACTTGAAATGAAAGAAAAAAAAAAGTATACAAAGGGATGCATCTACCACATATATGAAAACAAGAGTGATACCTATAATTTAGCATTACTGCTTATACTCTGGTCTAGTACATGGTTAAAAATTAAAAAAAAAAAGCTATAGAGATATTTGAGGAGACCATACGCATTTCTAATTATGACAATAAGAGCTTAACTACTCAAAGCCTGTGACCTGTGATGCAATATTTACCAAGTAGATTACAATACAAAGGAGTTAACCCCGAATACGCATAAACAATATCTTGAGGGCGGTTATTTATGTTTAAAAAATAACTTGAGGGTAGTACACATCGCATTCTGCACCATATCCAAATTCACATTTTTGAAGCAGCCCTAAAGAAATGGGACATTTCATGTTTACACAAATAATGAAGCACAAAGCAGTAGACATTCAAAACTCTAGTGCACAAACAATGACTCTGCAAGAAATGTCAATAGTCACCACCAATCAAAGCTTTCTAACCTAAAATGCACTAGCAACAAGTCTTTCCCACTATAGCACACTGGTTATGGGCTGAGATTTCTCATCTAAAAACACACAAAAGCAGCTCCAGTCTTGGCATAAAGAAAGAATCCCTGGTCTCGAAATTTTTTGTCTCGTGTCATCATATGGCAACTGAATGATGAATCAAACATGAGATAACTCATATTGAACCCCACGCCAAAAGCAGGAGCACCCAATGGATGGAACCCTAAGTATGATTGATACAAGTGATTTTTTTTTTACAAGTGAATTTTTTAACATTAAAACGTACCCGAAAAAAGGTTTAATATGTCCATAACAAGATTTATTAACATTTCTGGTTTTGTTTCGTTTCAGAACATGGAGAGATTAGTTATTTGTTTGGCAATTTATTAAAGTGCCTACTATGCACTAATTTTGGCAAAGGCAAAGGTAACCAAAATTATAATGGAAAGTAAAATTTTGTCAAAGCAAAAGTACCTGTTCTTCCATCATAGATCCAGATATGGATCCAATTGCCCAGCATAAAGTATTCAAGTTGTTCCATGCCCAGTCTTCGCCAGTTAGTTGCTTACTTAATTTCTTCAACATCTAGAGTCATAAAGAACAGTCCACAAGTCGTACTCAATCAGCTTAGGCAGAATGAAATGTTTTAAATTTTGATTTCAAAATAACAATAAAGGAAAAGTCAATAGTAAGATTGTTTATTTCTTCAATATAGCAGGTCATTCAAGCAACTTAACCATCAAACAAGTCTCAATAGCTAACCCATCACTAAATGTAATCAATCTAATTTTCTCAGGTCAAAAGACACGGTGAAAAATAAAAAAATGAAAATAAGTCTAAGAGTTTTGTGTGGTTCTAAGGGATGTAATGTAATAAAAAATACAATAGAGTAGAAGTGCTCCTGGGCCTATTTCCTAAATTTGCATAATGAAGTCATGTAACAAAAAAGCATTAAGAAAGCTGAAGTATCAGTGAACCCAATTCTAAACTTATAATAGTGATCACAAAGGACACATACTTTCTTTGCAAGGAAAGGGTCTGTCCAGTCAGACAAAAATAAGAAAAGCACTAAATAGAACAAATAATGTCTTTCTCATGCCCAATTTAAAAGAAAAAAAAAATGTGACTTGATGGTAGCATCAAGTGATTACATATTCATAGTACTTGTGGATACACAAAGGTTTCCTGACTCAAAAAATAAAAAATAAAAACCAAATTAAGAGCAAAAATGAAAATAATATAGCAAATCTAATAAAATGTATCACCAAGTCCTTAGGCATTCTTTTTCTAGATGATTGCCCCTTCAATGAATAGACTGGAAAGAATAACAGCATATGAAGTTGGCATTAGATTGATTTATTAGACAATCAGAAATTTTAGACACAAACTTAGAATAACTGTGAAAAAAAACTATAGAAGACAAGGGACTCAGATAAGCACAATAAAACAAATATATCTAATGTGATTTTACTAGAAAAGAAATGGCAAAAATCATCAAGTGATAAATAGGATTATGCATCTACATATATACGTTGGAGTTCAGTGCCATCCAAAATTAAAACTATGTGATGATGGTTCATGTTTGCAAGTAGCAACTAGCAGTCGTGAAGTACAAAAAGAAAAAAAAAATCACAAAGTGTTTAATTTCCATTAAAGATGCAGTTCAGGTAAAATGGTTTGCATGATACAAAAGAGAGTACCTGTTGTTCAGTATCCTCATGGTCAAGGTGTGTCAAGTAGATCAATGTTTCTCTCATGATCTGAAAAATTCAACCAAACTGGTAAGAAATTATTGAAACAATGGAGTTTTAAATACAAACAGGAATGAAACTCTTAGTGACCTCAGGTCCAACCAAAGCAATAGGAAAACTAGTATGAAATACAAAATTTCCTTCATCCAATAAAAGCAATTAACCATATACAATAACAAATTAAAACAAGAATTGGAACAGTAGCAAATTTACAAATTAAAACAACTATTAGAGAACAAAAAACGTTTAGTAGACTTTCAAATTTAAAATCTATTATAAGAATGACATTCGCAGCATATCTTGAAAAAAAAGAAGATTACAAGGAAGTTAGAAACTGAACCTTATATTGCACAAGCACATCATTGTCTTTCATTGTTTCTCGAACAATATTTCCATTTTCATCTTCAACGATCAGAACTTCTTCAGGTTTTGCCATTCGACTAATCATAAGCATTCTTAGTTTTGAAAGTGGAGCAGCATAAAGTTGACGGCGCAATAGGACTTGTGAACCGAGACCATCAACCATGCCAGGAACCTATAGAGGCTTAAAATGAGACAATGGTTAGCAGTCTAAGAATTAAAAAAGTAAATTAAATTTTAAATATGTGCGAATATGCCTACCTTCTGTTCACAGGAAAAGCAGTTTACTTTAATATAAGCAGCATGGCCAAAAAAAGAAACAACAAATAACCTTTACAAATAGAGAAATACACCAACTTGCATGTACACAAGAAAAAGCCAGCATAAAGTAGGTGTCAATAATAGAAGGAAAAACAGTTCAATTTCAAAAATCTGAAAATAAGAATTTATTAGTTTGCACTCAATCTAAAGCAGTTACCTGCAATTAGACAAATTTCAATTAATGCAAATAGAGCATAAAAAAAAAACAGATGCAAATACTTATAAATCAAGGAGGTTTAAGCACCAGCAGAACAGTTCAACGGCAAATGATAAATCCGTTTTGTCACAACGCTAAACAGAAGGGATATAAAGGTTTTATGACATAAATAAACTCTTGCTAGACAACAAGCACGTTTTGGTTTCCAAAATCAACTTGTAGCCATCCATAGGTGTTAAAGGAATTTTATGGATTTTTTTCCCAAAAAAGGAAATTATGCAATTTGGTCCTTACGATAGACAACTAAAAACTCATAAGGGAAGAAGCATAGCACTTAATACAAAATTAGTCAAGAAAAAAATTTCACTAACGTAACTCAAGTCAAAATAAATATCAGGGAAAATTTAATCATGCTAATACCTGGAGCCCAAAGATACTTGCAGCAAGAGAAGGATTATCCAACGTGTTGTGAGCCTCAAACAACTTCAGGACTAGTAAATTCCAGTAGTCCAAGCAAACCTGCAAATAAGGAGATTGCGATTGAACTGTTTGCACAAAACACATGTGGATGAAGCATAATACCAATCATTTACCTTGAAAACTTCTGTCTCATCAACATATGATACACCAATGAGATATTCGAGACCCAATAACAGGGCAGTCCTATTCTCATCGGCTGCTTCTAAAATTTGAATATGGGACTGCCAGGGAAAACAAGAAAGTTAGATGTTGCTTACATGGATGAGACAAATCAATTTTGATAATGTAATAAAAGAAGAGCTATGAGTAGGCATTGCAACATCTATATGATTTTCATCCTACCAAACTAATAGAAGTACATATCAAAAATGGTCCCTAGACTTTTTAGGAGTGCCATTTCAGTCTGAACTTCTCTAGCAATTCAATTTAATGGCTCAACTCACCAAAATTTAACCAAATTGATCCCACCATGATGTAATCAAAAATTTGGGAGAGGGTCCCAAATTTTTTATCACAAAAGAAGACTCTTCCTAGATAAAATAAAGACACAAATATACCCAAAAGATATAAAATACAACAAATTAGACAAATAAACCAAAACAACTTTACTTTTATAAAATAAAATGACACCCTTTACAAACGACGCTTACAAACGACTCAAACAAACTTATATAATAAAAAAAAACTAAACTTGCTTTGCCTTGAGAAGAATGATACAGGTGAGGTGGCGAGAAGAAGGGGATTAGAAGCCAAGACGAAGGAGAAGGACAAGCGCGCAAGCTTTCCCAAGGAGGAGAGGAAGAGAAGTTGGACAAAGCTTGCAAGCTTTTCCAAACAACAAACCCGCAGGTTTAGGCTCCAAAAATCACTCACATAACCATCCTAAAACAACCACAAACTCTCCTATATATAGGTACAAAAGAAGAATCTAAACAGCCATAAACACATTAATAAAATCTATTAAATTAGGGAATAAGAAATGCCAACAGCCACTTCAACAATTCCCAAACAGAGAAGGCATCCACGGGAAACCAAGCGGGGAACTCACGGAACCAAGCAGCCCAGCACAGAACCAAGCAGGGAACAGAGGAGCCAGCCGCAGGAACTAAGGGGGAAGGCACGGGAATTCTGTTGGACCGGGTTTGCAGGCGGGGCCTAGACCCGTGCGGGTCTACAGGCGGAGGAAATAAGGGGGGGGGGGGAATTGGCTGGAAGAGGGACCCCCCACTTAAGTGAGGGTATTTTGGGAATGGGAGGGGATTTTTGAATGGGTATGAAGGGAGCCTTTAGGGTTTAGTTTTTGGCATTATGAAAAGTGTATTCTCTCTCTTATTTTCTCCTTAGCCTCCTTCTTGCTCTTTTCTAGGGTTTTCTTGTGGGAGATCTTGTTCTTCTCGAAGTGGACAAACTTATCTTGTTTTCTCTTGGTTTTCTTATGCAAATGTTTTAACTTCTCATCTCAACCCTCTTGTGATTGTTCTTCTTTGGTTTTGGTGGAGAAATTCCTCTTTTTGGGGGAAAACTAGGGCAAAACCGAAATTGTCTAAACCTAAGGCGTATCAAGTTGGTATCAGAGCTCTTGATCCTAGACGGCATGGCGTCAAAGAAAGTGGAAGTTTTGGAGGGAGAGATGGGCCAATTGAAAGAGGAGGTGGGTGAGAAACTTTCGTCGATGGAGGGAAAATTTTCATCCCTAGAGGAGAGATTTGGGGGAATGGAAGAGATGATCCGAAAATTGCTAGAAGCTCAAGTTGTTCCATCAAACCCTAAGGAAAAAGGGAAATCTCCGGTGACGAACCAAAACCCTAACCCTAATTTTCCAATTAGGGAAGAGGGAGTAAATCAAAGCGAAGATGGCATGCAAGGGCAATGGCCAAGGGAAGGAGGAGAAGGGTCTGGAGTAGGTGGCCCTTGGGGAATGACCGGTGGTCAAGGGGGCCGGCCATACATGGGCTCGG